TTATAGTCCTGTTTTGTCTGTTATAGTCCTGTTTTGTCTGTTATAGTCCTGTTTTGTCTGTTATAGTCCTGTTTTGTCTGTTATAGTCCTGTTTTCAAACTAATGTTCAACATTCACTGCCTTATTGTTCCAGAATCCATATAAATGTTGCTTACATGATATTATTCCTTGTTAAAAATAATACTTTTGCCTTAACTTTAGTTTCAGGTTTATTTCTGTGTTTCTCATTTATGTTTCTACATGCCGTGCAATGTTGAATTACACTTTCTTACTATGGCAGCCAATACTCTTCTCGTTTTCTCCATCCATTATACCCAGTGCCCAATTCAGAAAGTTTCGTTAAATCCGTGGTTGATAATAATTATGGTTTCATACATACAGATGGTGCTGGTCAGTGCACACTGTATCAAACGGACCTAGGCTTTGCTTCATAAGATTTAAGTTAACTCACGGAATCCCACAAGGACCTGTCGCATTCCCCGCGCAAACAAAAGATATGAGCCCCCAATGCATCGTTTGCCTTGTCTTCTTAAGTTAATTAGTTGTTTTCATAAAACGCATCCAACGTATCAGACCGTGAACCACGACCTAGAAAATCAAAGATTTTTTGGTTCAAATTTGGAGAATTTTTATCAAATTGTGCTACAATGGTGGCTTTTGTCCTCAAATGACGAAAAACATGGCTGTCTTCAAATGTAGTACATGGAGATTTGACGTAAATGTCTGCACTGGGTATTTAACGATTTTATGTGTGGCTATGTATATCTACAATTGCCTATTGTTCGTCCCCAGCAAACATCAAGGCAGTCCGGGCTATGGTGATCCTAGGTTTGATCCTGGGTGCTGTAGGAGGTGCCAGTGCGCTAATGCATCTAGTCTGTATCTTCACGTCACGTGAGACTAAAGCTGTGGTGCCACTCGTTGTCATTGGAACCTGCTTGGCAGCTTGTAAGTGTGTCACTTATGTGATTTGGTTACTTTTTTATTTTTTAAAGAAATAGCCTGTTTTATAATCACGTCTTTTTTTTATAGTGTTAAAGAAGCGTCTGATTTGGAGGAATAAATGGAAACAAAAGTGAGAGGGTCGAGACAGAGTACGGCGAACATGACTATTGACGACATCGCTTCTAAAGAAAGGGAAGGAGAGACAGAGAGAAAGAGAGAGAGAGAGAGAGAGAGAGAGAGAGAGAGAGAGAGAGAGAGAGAGA